AACCTTAAGTGTGTAGACCCTACGGGTTCGGAAACCATGCAGACATGACCGAGACAACTCTCCGGCCAATAACCAACAGTGGGATCTGGATACCCATGTTGGCTCCCACATGTTCCACGATGATCTCATCGGATGAACCATGATGTCAAGGATTCAATCAATCCCGTATACAATTCCCTTTGTCTAGCGGTATAGTACTTGCCCGAGATTCAATCGTCGGTATCCCGATACCTTGTTCAATCTCGTTATCGGCAAGTCTCTTTACTCATTCCGTAACACATCATCCCGCGATCAACTCCTTGATCACATTGTGCACATTATGATGATGTCCTACCGAGTGGGCCCAGAGATACCTCTCCGTCACACGGAGTGACAAATCCCAGTCTCGATTCGTGCCAACCCAACAGACACTTTCGGAGATACCCTTAGTGCACCTTTATAGCCACCCAGTTACGTCGCGACGTTTGGTACACCCAAAGCATTCCTACGGTATCCGGGAGTTGCACAATCTCATGGTCTAAGGAAAAGATACTTGACATTTAGAAAAGCTTTAGCATACGAACTACATGATCTTGTGCTAGGCTTGGGATTGGGTCTTGTCCATCAAATCATTCTGCTAATGATGTGATCCCGTTATCAATGACATCAAATGTCCATGGTCAGGAAACCATGACCATCTGTTGATCAACGAGCTAGTCAACTAGAGGCTCACTAGGGACATGTTGTGGTCTATGTATTCACACATGTATTGCGGTTTCCGGTCAATACAATTATAGCATGAATAATAGACAATTATCATGAACAAGGAAATACAATAATAACCATTTTATTATTGCCTCTAGGGCATATTTCCAACACTACAAGCTAAACCCCTTGGCTTATATACATGTCAGAGGGGTGCCTAGGGTTACATAGTCTACTGTAGGACTAGGGACGCGTAGGGCGGCGGGCGGAGATGTCCTTGGAGTGCACGTCAAGTCTTCGAGGTGAGAGGCTTCCGGAGTCCTTCCTTATGAGAATGAGGGCACATAAGCTCGGCCCGAGGACTGTGGGCCAACTAGGTTGGTACCTCCTAGTCTAGGACACCGTCAACGTACATGCACATGCATTGACACATGACTGATTGAGCTAATTGTGGTCTATGCGGCATACCGACTCGTGGAGGCATTCTCTCATTGAATGCACGACGTCCAGAAGCATTTGGGTCCTCGTTGACAATGATCTAGCACGTAGAATGATGACTGTGGCAGAACCATCAGCAAAGCATTCACTGTTCACTTTGAAGGAGTCACTACCACATGATAAGTTTGTTCTGCTCTCGGTCGTTACATTGTAGGCCGTTTGGTTGGCACGTTGTAAAACAATACACGAAGGGATCTTCCAGAGGCCACAGGCCACCCAATCTTTTATAACTAGACTCATCTCTAATCTAGAGGTCAATGGTTGCTCCCTGAACCCACCTGCGGGTCATGCTTCTATATTAGATGTGCCACCACCAGTGAGACCCAAGGCTCCACCGACCGGCTATGCTAAAATACATGTTGACACGGGCGTGAGGCACAAACCAGGATCTGCAGGTGCTATCTGTCGGGATGAGCACGGAAAATATCTGGGAAGCTCTGCTTTGGTCATCTAGGAGTATGTGACCCAACATCATTGGAGGACATAGCTTGTTGGGAGGCAATAGCACTCGCGAAGGACCTCTTGCAGAAGTTCATCAGTCACATTTGATGGCAAACAAGTTATCTCTAATATATCTAAGAGCAACTCTAGCAGACCCCGCAAAAGGCCCCGATCCGAAAAATAACCGCCAAAATGCAAGATGGCACAGAAAATCCCGCCCGAACAGACCACGCAAACGAGGCCGGCCCGCAAATTTTTTTGAGGGGCGCGGCAAAAACTTTACCCCAACCCACGAATACGCGGGTTCCCCCCCGGCCCGTCAGTGCCCTGCATATAGCGGGAGCGGTTGGTGGGGATGGCATTTCAGCCCGCGCTTTTCTCCACCAACCACGTCCCCTCTCCCCCTCGCCCCGCCGCCCCTCCGCCGCACAAGATTCCGGCGAAAGTAGCCGGCGGGAGCACGCCAAAAGACCGCCGCACGCATGAGGTTGCCCTCTGCCCCTCCCCCTCCTCCTACGTCGACGTGTCGGGAACTTGCGGATCTACGACCCTTCATCGCGGGCGGCCGGATTTGGCTTTCTCGGACACCGGCGGCTGCGCCAAGCGATGGAATGGTCAGGGAGCACCTCGCGCAGCCCCGACAAAGGCACATTCACCGCATTCAGGTGCGGATTCGTCTTGTCGCCGCCGCCGCCGGTTTGCCTGCATGGATTCGGCCGGCATTCTACCGGGCTCGGCCCTCACGCAGAGGCTCTATGGCTCGCCGATGCCGCTCATACAATGCGATGACAGCGCGCGGACAATGCTAGGCTGACTTTGGGCACGGCGAAGCACCCCGGATGGGTGTTCTTTAAATGCGAAAACGACGGGGTACGTGCTGTTTTCATTCTGCTCATTTCGATAGTTCATTATGTTAGCTCATTTCGAACATCATCATGTGTGTAGGAGGATGGATGCTCATTTTGGTTTTGGAAAGGATAATGCATTGATTTATTGATAGAAAGAAAATGCATACTTGTGATAGAAAGAAAATGCATACTTGTGGTTTTGGGAAGATATTGCTTCAACTAGTGGGAACAGTTATGGAAGTTGGAAATCTTCTAAAATGCATATTTGTGGTTTTGGTTTTCTTTGGTCTTGCTATTCTAGCAAAGATTTGATGATATCCTATGTATCCAATGTGGTTGAAAATG